TGTTCTCCCATTAACTGTCCATCTGGTTAAAAATATGCCTATAAAGACCAGTCTTTTGTTTCTATACAGTCCTGGACTGCGTCTTGCCGTTTCGCAATTTTTCGGTCTCTGTAATACAGCGACCGATTTTTTGGTTTTTTGTGGGGACCTCTGGAGTTTATCCTAACTTTGCATTTATTCCTTCCCTTTTAGGCCCTGCAGGCAGCCAAGGAGCAACTTAAAATGTCTCTTTTACGGTGATGGTCGTCCTCCTGTTCACTTCGCCAGCGCAGCCGAGTGTGATATAACTTCACAACGTTTTTTTCAACATACATTATCTTCCCAAGTTCACACGAGTTATTTTTTAGACGAACTGCAAAAACGGGTATTCAGTTCACCATCACATTTGAAGCACTTTTTCCGTGGGTACGAACTTAAAACAGGTGTAAACCGCAGGATTTACTGGCTCCAACAAGTTCATTGACGGCTTATCAACGGAACTCTGTCTTTGCATGACATCGGTAACGAATATAAGCGCACAAAGGCAATTGGCAGTTGGAGCCACTCTAATCATCGCGCCACCGGCTTGCTGCTCTGTTCGTTTCGATCGGAAATACAAACAATAATAGAATGTTGGGAATCTCTACAGTCCCAGGAAAGCAAGTGTACTCGTTACACGCACTGCATGTCATGAAGATGACGGTATTGAGCTTGCCCCGGACTCTGGGTGACTAATCCCGACCACGGTGATGATCTCGCCCTGCTAACCCCAAGCTTTGGTGATTTACGGTCTGCATTGTCACGATGAATGACAAAGCTATGTGGGTTGGCTTGTTCATAAATACCGGGAAAACCAAATTATTCTCGAACTGCATCCCTGAGCAAGTGAAGGCACCTCTAGAGATTAGTGACTGTTAACCTTAAGAAGTGTACAGCTTTAAATACCCCGGGGGTGAGGCTGCTACCGAATGGACAGCCTAAGAGAGACATCATCTCCCGAATCGATGCTGCTCGCCAGGTTTTCAAATCCTCCAAAAGCGCCTATGGATGCGACACGACATCTCCACCGCCACAAATATCCGTGTCTACCGTGCATAACTCCGGCCAGTCCTCCTCTATGGGTGTGAATACTATGTTCTGCGCGTTGAAGATGAGCGAAGACTGAAGGTATGTGACTACTTCGAGTGATTTAATCTCGAATGAGACAGTCCGAACTCACGGCGACAGTATAGCGAAGATATCTAAGGCCATCCAAGAAAGATGACTGAAGTGGTTTGCGCACGTTCTCCGTCGTCTGGCTCACGAAATTTGCTACGCTGCCCTCGACCCGGTGCCACAGCCCACCTGGTGATGTCGAAGAGGTAGACAACTCAAAACTTGGCTTCACATCGTTCGCCAAGTCATGAAAGCGGCTCTTGCAGACGAGAATGGGGGGGGGGCGTTTTCCATGTCCGCGGCCGCTAAGCGTCACGCGTGGAGATGTACTGTGCCTGACACCATTGGGGTTGGCTAGATCAGACATGATCACAACCGTAACAAGTAGCCAATCTGAATGTAATTCTATAAATACGCACACGTCGCGTTTATGATTGCGACGGCAGTCAAGCAAGTATTTGGTCCGTGCGATTGCAGTGCCTAGGCCAAATCAAAACAGGTCTTTGCGGTTTCTAGCCAGCCCTGCTCAAATCACGGTGTGGTAAAATCTGTGGCTTAGGCGGCGTTAAAGCAGCTGTTAATCTATGTGCTCTAGCGACCGAACCGCGATCTCTAGCTCCGTTACATGTGGCATCCTAAGTTACTGAAAAGTGGTGTTTCAGTTCACCGACCTGACCAGCTTACAGGTGATAATATAGACGTTCCCGGCCTCTGAGTTTTTCCAGGCAGTGTCTTGAGGATAATGCTGTAAGCATGATTCGTGTTGAAGCACTTTACTTAGATCATTTGTGAAGTTCTTGGACGAAAGGTTGTAACGTAACGTGTCCCGTAATCCTATTGGTTAGCACTCTTTCATCCTTATCCAAAGTATACTAAGGAAACGGCTTGTGTATGTAAAGTTTAACGTCTTCTCCTCTATTTGGACAAGTTTAAGGCGAATTCTGTTAGGATGTCAGCCGAACCAAATGCTAGCAACGTTTGGAGGCTTTCCT